TAACAAATCCTGCCTCGGGTTTATTTGTACGACTAGCATAGGAGGACCCCAGCCCCATGCAGATTGGCAGACAGAGATATCTACTCTGAAGCCTTTGTAGGGGCCTGGGAACCTTTGGGAGCCTAAGCTGGAACTGAAGCTGGAGCTGGAGCCTGGGCTTTGATTTGACCCTTGCCCTTGACCTTTGGCCAGCATAGCCTGAGCCCCTTTGCAATGCGGGCACAAGCACGCTTCCCAAGCTTGGAGTGGGTATTGTAGGCAAGTCGATCGAGCTTGCGGCTGGCACCCTTTGGGATCTTGAGCTTAACCTCCTTGGGTTTTACGAGGGCCTTGATGGCCTCGGCACCTGCACTCATGGCCTTGGCGTTGTTGGCCGGCATCATCTTTAGGCTCTTGTTGTTGTGCTTCTTGGCAATGTGCATTTTCCTCAGGAACTTAAGGTCCACCCCCTTAAGAGACTCATACTTTGCGATTGGGGTTTGTTGATATCATTTCTGTGTCATGCTCAGGACTGGTTCTGTGTGGTGTGGTTCTTGGACTTGGCCATGTCTGCGTTTTAAGCCGTGACTCCCAAAGCCTCAACCCCAGTTTTCTATAAGGAGCAAATAGACAAGCATAATTATTGGCTGTTGCAGAAAAAATGGGGAGAAGGATATTGACATTAGCAGAGTGTCCACTGTGCCAGGCACTCTCTTTGATGCACTAAGTGTGTTTTCTTTTTTCATACTCAAACCGTATTATTAGACTTGAAGATTTAAAAAGACTAAAAAGGGCCAGGACAGTGATTCAAACCTGTAACTCCAGTGCTTTGGGAGGTCAAGGTGGGAGGATCACCTGAGGTGAGGAGTTCGAGACCAGCCTGGCCAATGTGGCGAAACCTTGTCTGTACTACAAATAAAAAAATTAGCTGGGAATGATGCCATGTGCCTGTAGTTCTAGCTACTTGGGAGGTTGAGGCAGGAGGATCACTTGAACCCAGGAAGCGGAGGTTGCAGTGAGCTGAGATTGCGCTACTCAACTCCAGCCTGGGCGGCAGAGCAAGACTCCGTCTCAGAAAAGATATTGTTAACATGTCTATTTTATTGATGAGAAACCAACTTGCCTAAGGTCATGTAATTCAAATAGAAAGGATAAAACTAGGATTTGAGAAATAGGATATCTGTTTGCATCCAAATCTTCCTGAGGGTGCGTGGGGGACAGAAAAATTAAAAATACAAGGTGGTAAATGGATACATTAGAATATGGTCAATTTTATTTTCTGCTCTCTTGGGAAGTGAGGCAGGCAGGAAGAGACCTTGTTACTCAACAAAGATAAATTCATTCATTTATTTACGAGCTGGGATTGGCTTGGGCTATGGATGGCAAGAAGATTAAATCTTGAATGCCTAGTTTGATCCATTGGGAGTGGCTGCTCGGTGGGAAGTTGATTAATGGTACCTGTTAAGGTTATGAAATAGAGATCAGTGGTCTAGTTGTTATATCCTTGATACCTATTCATGAAGCAGAGAAGAGGCTGTTCTAAGTAACACAGGAAGAAGTGCTATATTGAATGGCACGGATAAGGGGATGCTGGATTCTGTCTTGGTAAGAACAAAGGTCTGAGACAGATGATGAGCACAACTGGAAGATTCTGAGAATCCCATAAGGACAGGCAAAGGCTTCCTTTGGGGTTATAACAGGAGAGAGTGAACTTACAATTCTTGAGCTGCCTCTATGGGAAGCAGCTCAGTCTGGACGAGAGAGAGACTTTAGAAAGAATCCAGGAAGCAAGCCCTTCTTGTAGCAAAGTTGTTAACTGTGGGACTATGGGAGCTAGGCAGGGCCACATTTCAAATCCTGGCTCCATCATGTATGAGCTGTGGGAACTGGGGAATTGACCCCTCTGTTGCCACCAGCAAAATGCGAGCTTCTAACTGGTAGTGTTGTCTGAAGATGAAATGAGATAACATTATTAAAGCGCTTTGCACACAACAGGCCCTCAATGTATGACTGTTTTCCTTTCCCTGCACCCCAGGGTATTCTGCAGCTGGGAATGCTCACCCTGTGAGGAAAGGTGTTACTAGAAGACACTTAGCCTAGCCCTTGGTATACAGGTGACTCTAATGCCTCCTTCCCACAACTGAACTTCAGGGCCCCCTTTTACTATTAATGAAAACTGTGTTCCTAATTCCCCTCCCACTGTGCAATTTACCTCTTAAAACCTGGCAGAGGCAGCATGTAGGAAGATTGACAACATTGCTCACACTGTTTAAAGGTTCCACTTCGTGTTGAAAATTGTCTAAATTGGGGGATAATGAACAATCACTGAATTGGAGCTTTCTCAAGCTGAGAGGAAAGAAAGGTTTTGGAGAGAGGGTGTCATCTGACCAAACTTGTTAGCTAGGGTAGGGAAATGGAGGAGCGATGGTGTCAGTTCCCCAAGCCCAAAAAGGTTGGACCTGTTAGAGTGTGAAGCATTTGGGGGCTATTCACTGTTAGCAGTTTATATGGTTACTTTCTAGGGAATGCTGGGATCAGACAGGGACATGTACACCTTGGATTCTGCCTGCCCCAGACACATTAATGAAACTGTGAGCCCATGGGCTTCCACCATGATTTGGACTGACCTGACCTGTGAAGACAATGCTAAAATTTATATGAAGCCGCAAAACACCCAGAATAGCCAAAGCTATCCTATGCAAGAACAACAAAACTGGAGGAATCGCATTACCTGACTTCAAATTATGCTACTGAGCTATAGTAACCAAAACAGCATGGCACTGGCATTTAAAAAAAAAAAAAAGTCTGGAGGCATCACACTACTTGATTTCAAACTATACTATAAGGCCATAGTCACCAAAACAGCATGGTACTTTTTATAAGAATAGCCACATAGACTAATGGAGCAGAGTAGAGAACCCAGAAACAAATCTGCATATTTGCAGTGAACTCTTTTTTGATAGCAATGCCAAGAATATACACTAGGAAAAAGTCTCTTCAAAAAATAATACTGGGAAAACTGGATATTCATATGCAAAAGAATGAAATGAAATCCCTCTCTCTCACCATATAGTGAAATCAAATCAAAATGGATTAAAGACTTAGATCTAAGACCTCAAACTATGAAATGACTACAAGAGCATTAGAGACAGTCAATCTCCAGGACATTGAAGTAGGCAAAGATTTCTTGAGTAATACCCAACAAGCACAGGCAACCAAAGCAAAAATGAATAAATGGGATCGCATCAAGTTAAATGCATAACAAAGGGAACAGTCAACAAAGTGAAGAGACAACCCAGAGAAAGGGAAAAATATTTGCAAACTATCCATCTGTCAAGGGATTAGTAACTAGAATACATAAGGAGCACAAACAACTCTATAGGAATAAATCTAATAATCTCATGCTAAATGGGCAAAAGATTTGAATAGACACCATTGATTTTCTTATGGCAACTTTCCCAATGGGATGGGGTCTCCCAGATGGAAGGATTGTCTCAAATCCTGGCTTTCTCTTTTATTAGCAATGTGTCTTTGGGCAGGTAACTTCACCTCTTTGAGTCTCTGCTTCTTTCCTGGTAAATGAGGGGTGGTAATACTAACCTCACAGAACCACTGTGATCGCTTGCAGTCACGAATTTAGAAACCATAAGTGCAATTTCCCACAACCTTACTTTATGGTGGATGGGATACTGTACTAGTCTCCAGTTTGATCAACAGTCATGCAAGGTAGGCATTACTATCCACTCTTGTAAAAAGGAAACATTAAGCCTCATAGAGTTGGTATTTCTCATTCAAAACCTCACAGTTAGAAACCAAAATCTGTTTGACTCCAAACTTGATACTTTATTCCCTCTACGCAAGACTACCTTGACATGACATGCTTGCTGATGGCAAAACCTAGTCTGCTGCAAGAACATCATGGTGGCTCAATAAATACGTGTTTATTGTTCATTGATTTGTTCACACAAATATCAAGCATTGATTAGCTCCAAGGCTGATGTTGGACCTTAGCTAGTTGATATCTAACAGTACTGGCTATTGACTGTTAACCTGGGTCAGAGCACAGAAGCAACCTACTTTCTTTTTCACTTAAACTATGATTAGTAACTATCTCAGAAATGGCCATCAATATTTGCAATTGGCAGGAGGTGAGAAGGAGGTGAAATACAACTCGTTGACATATACTTGCTACTGGCAAACCTTTGGGTATCTTCTAGCCTATTGGAAACTCATCGGTCTATGGAGGCTCACAAAGATTCGGCAGCCCCATGTGTGTAGAAGGTGACATCTTCAGCCTGCACAACAGTTTGGAGAGGGATGCAGAGGCTGTCTGAGAGGAAGCCTTCCCTGGGGCCCTCCTCCAACTCCTCTGCCGTCATGCTGACCTCACTGCTGTCATGATCTGTTTTCCTCTTTGCTCCTCTGCCCAAGCTGAGTATGAGTTCCTGGGGTCACAGGCAATGTCTAATTGAACTGCAGATAACCAATGCATTGCATAAGGTCAGGAAAAGAATAGGCAGTTAATCAGGGCAGAGAGAGGAAGATAAAGAGAGAGAAAAGGAGAGACAAAGAGATTGAAGGAGAGAGAGGGAAGGAAGGGGGAGAGAGAAAGGGAGATTGAGGGAGGAGGAGAGAGAGGGAGAGAGAGAAAGAGACAAAGGAAAGGAGAGAGGGAGAGAAAGGGGAGGAGAGAGAAAGACAGACTGAGGGAGGAAGAGCGAGTGGGGAGGGAAAGAGAAGGAAAGAGACTGAGGGAAGGAGAGAGAGAGTGAGAGCTGAGGGAAAGAGAGACTGAGATTAGGAAAGAGAGAGGGAAGGAAGGATAGAGGGAGGGAGACTGGGAAGGAGAAAGAGGTAGAGAGCTGAGAAGAAAAGACAGACTAAGGGAGAGAGGGAAGGGGAGAGTGAAAGAGGGGAAGAGGGAAGGAGAGAAAGATGGGAAGAGGGAGAGAAAGAGGGAGGGGAGGAGAGAGAAAAGAGGGAGAGAGGAGAAAGAGAAGGATAGGGAGAGAGGGACTGAGGGAGGGAGACAGAAAAACAAGTAATAGAAAAGAGAGAAAACAAGAAAAGGATAGAGAATAAAGGGAGAAAAGTAAAGAGGGGCAGAACTCAGAAGGGAAGGAGGCAGAGAGAAGAGAAGGGGAGGGCGAGCAGCTTGGCAGGTCAGCTCCTGCAGG